TGTTGATATATTGAGTCAATAGGAACAAAGCTTTAAAAGAAAATCATTTTTTTTGCATTTATTTAATTTTTCCACACACTAGATTTACCATTTATTATTGTTAAATCACCAGGTAATGCTGCCAACATTCATTTCCTTATCACCATTCTCTTCAAAGGCCAGGACCTCTGACAATATTATCAGTTTTTTCATAATAGCCAGAGGAATCTCTGTCGTGTTTCAAATTCATTTAGAACATTTATCTTTCCAGATCCTGATGTTAGATCATCCAATTATTTTTTTTAAATATAGGAAAAAAAGAGTTATTAAAAGGGAAAATATGATAATAAGAAAAAATAACTACATAGCAAAGTTACTATAAATTCCCAAATTCCAAATCTGTAAAGAGACTCAATGTTCCTCAAAGTCTTAAACTGCCAAAAGGAAAATTAAACAAGTGGTTTATTAACTAAATATGAATGATGAGAAGAAAGGCAGAATGATACTTACTTATATCTTACTTATATTTATATAAAAGTATATATAAACATATTTATATTTGTTACTAGTATTTATTTTTGTTATATCATATAGGTATTAATGAACTGATTATAAAATGATGAAAACATACATGGTTTTTTTAAAGGTTATAATATAGTTTAAGAGAAAAACTTAAAACTAAATTGAATATGTCATAAAGTGAATATAATACATATTTATATTAGAATAGGAAAAGATTGAGCACCACTAAAGTTAAATAAGAGGTATCATCTGTAAAACGGATTTACATATTACAATATAACAACTCATGTTGGTCATGAAGATGAAAAGTTAATGTCTTTTTTCTTTTTTTTTAAATTTTTCAATTATAGTTGATATTCAATAAAATTTTATATTAGCTTCATGTGTACAGCATAATGGTTAGACATTTATATGATTTATACAGTGATCCCCCTGACTACTATAGTACCCACCTTGTACTATGCATAGTTATTACCATATTATTGACTATATTCCCTATGCTGTACTTTACATCCCATGACTATTTTTTATTAGTTTCAGGTATACAAAACAACATAGTGGTTAGACATTTATATAATTTATGCAGTGATCCCCCCAATTAGTCTAGTGCCCACCTGGCACTATACATAGTTATTACAGAATTATTGACTATATTCCCTATGCTGTACTTTACATCCCTGTGGCTATTTTGCAACTACCAATTTGTATTTCTTAATCCTTTCACCTTTTTTACCCAGTCCCCCAGGAGTGTTGGGAGTTAATGTATTTCAAAACACTTAGAGCATTGTCTGCCACAGAAATATTCAATAAATATAAGCTACGAATGTAAACTCAAGACCTTAAAAAATTGTTTTCAAAAATCTCTTTTTACTAAACTATTTTAGTAATAATGTTATCCTACCCTCCACAAGAACTTATTTGGAACAATCTTATATGCACCACTAGCACCTAAATTTTAGTCTCTATAACATAGTCAATGAAAAGTAGCTGAATCTATGCTTGAATTGGGAGTCTGGCAGGGGATCAAGATGTTATTAGAGGAAAGATAGAATATTTTAAAATGTATTTCTGATTAACAAGAGGACAAAGAAGCTAGCATTAAGGGAATCTCAATAACTGAACTGTGACAATTTGCATATGTATATGAATAAGTTGAATTTGCAAAAATGTATGCAAGTGTAATGTTACTCAAAATCAGAGTTTAATATGATGTGTATGCATAATACTATGTATGTAATTTTCATGCAAAAGAAGACTCTACTAGGATATGTTTAAATTTTATTATCTTTAATAAATGAGATTTTCAGTATGTGGATATCTCGATTCTTCAATTAAATATGTATCTGTTTATAATATAGATTATTCCTTTTTTTCTATAATTAGAGGAGAATCATCTGATGTTTATTTAACACTGTCAGTGGGTCTTAGAATCACATCATTTTAAGCAAATGTCATATTCCAAAATGTGAAAGCCTGTGCAAAAGCTATAAATTTAAGTGCCATTAATAAAGTAAAAATAATGTTTAAATTATAAAAAATGTCAAGTCTGTTAAACAGGTCTCACTTTTGAAAGAAGCCAGTAAAATTCAACTGGTTGGTAACTCAGAAACTGATGCTGAATTAGGTAATATGATCCTCTTTTCCATTTTCTTTTAGATCATACTACTATTAAATACTGTAGAAAAAATATCTGATAGTTTTTGTATATATGTATAAAATTAATGTATAAAAGGTAAAAATATTTACATAATAAAATTATTATGAACTGAGTTAAGCATAAAGTGTAACTCAAAAATATGCACAAGACAGTTATAAGTATTAATAAAAAGTTTTTGTAATCATCTTGATAATTTGCAGTCTAATTTTATGACATTTAAAACCTTTAATAGACTCATGTATTAGGTTTGAATAGTTGATTTGATTAAGTAGTTTTTAATATTTGTCTAAATTTGCTAAATACATTAGTTTTGAAATATTAGTTGTATAATGAATATTTAAATTTTTACATAAATAGTGGTTGATGGGTAAAAAGGATTAATAATTTCAGCTTTAAATTGTGTCAAGTAATGATGGTTCTTCCACTCACAAAAACCCTTTAGATTTTAAACATTCTGCTAGCAATAAATAGGGAGTTCATTGTCTATCTATGAGGCTGGATACAGAAAATCATGACGTAAAGGAAAGCTGCCACAAAGGTTTTTGTCTTACTTTACCTTTGCATCCTTTCACTTCTTTTGAGAAACCCTTTTCTTTTTTCTCTCACCAACTTTTTACCCCGTTTTCTTCCCTAATCACAAAACTACCTTGACTCCTAGAATCCTATAGCAACCATGCTCATACCCAAGTAACTAGAAAGCAAGTTGATCAACTCTTTACCCTTTCTCTCTACCACATATATTTGCCTTTTTTCCCCAAAGATCACCTGGAAAAAAGATAAAACTAAACCTAAAGAACTTTTTTTTATGTCATCAATATAAACATAATGATATCTAGTGGGGGAATAATTTTGAGGCAGAAGCGGCCTTCCTTTTGTAAATGACTGACTCCTTCAACCGGCACCGAGGGGCCCTTATGCATATGTATGGCTTCCGGAACACAATGTTGAGTCAGGTGTGGTGGGAGTAGGTATGGGCAGGGACATAAATGCTACCAATGAATGCATATGTATGTCTACTCATATGTTTAAGTTAAAAATAAAGCAACTATTGCTGTTAACTCAAGCTCAGAACAGCTTGATGCTGAATAGGTAAGAGAGATGATGGATGATAGATAGATAATAGATGATAGATAGATAGATAGATAGATAGATAGATAGATAGATAGATAGATAGATAGATGATAGACAGATAGACAGACAGAGGGAGGAAGCTTCCCTTGCCGTCATTGAACTGTAAATGTTGTTGCCAGTTTGCTCACTGTAGGTGGGAGTGAGTATTTGATAACAGTGGCTACTAGTCTTTTCAGGAATCCTAGTAAGGCATGGTCATAAGAACACCTACAATCTTCTAGCAAATAGATTTATGCTCTGTAGGATGCAGAAAATTTCACCTATTTTGCTGCCACTGTGGATTTGAGGGAAAGAAACAATTGATATACTCGCACAGGCTATTGTGAATCGGTGTGCGTATGTCAGATTGTATAGTCCAAAGAGAAAGGTATAAGCCACTAATATTTGTACATCATGATCTCTGGATTTCCTGTATTCGTCTTGAAAAGACTGCTCTATTTAACAGAGGAGTGATATGGAAGGTTATTCATATTGTTTATTAAGTTCCTTTTTAATGTGCATAATGAAAAGTTTTAGGTTCTGTGATGCACCACACAATATTTTCTAAAATGAAAAGTAGGCTACGATCTTGGTATATCTGGTATCTGTAAAGTACCTGTATGAACTTCTTAGCCAAATATAATTTAAAAGATAACATTTAGATTTTTCTAGGACCTAAATCAATGTTCTCCAAACCAATCCATTATCATTTTTTTTTATTCTTTCCTTTTCTCCTTCATACTCTTTTAAAGGGTGTCTGGATTCTGCTTAATCAGAAATAATAACGTGAGGATGATTATATAGAAAAAAATCAATTGTTCCATTCTTCAGGGTGTAATTTTTAACTTAAAAAACACTTTGTGATAAATTATGTAGCAAATAGTTACATATGAATTATTAACACAAAGATTCTTGCCCCTCCTATTTATATGTTAGAATTTGTAATCCTCAAGTTTTTAAATTCAAGTAGAATTACTTACTAAGGAAAAATATAAAGTTTTTTTCACCACGTAGCCTATCCTTAGTTTGGTGTAAGCCCTCATTACAAGTGAAATAATTTCAAGAATTTTAAGAAATCAATACATTTAATTAATTAGACATATGATCTATTTTAGAAAATGTATATATTCTCGTTAGTATACATGATTATGTGGGGTCTCATTTTTCTAATAAAAAAGTTAGGTCAAACTGGGAGGAAGGTATAGTCAGAATCTCTGAAATATTAGCATTTCAGAGGACTTTTTTTGGTTAATTGACCATTAGCAGAATTTTTAGAATATGCTATCTTATTTCCAGAAGAATCTATAGCAAATAGACTATAATAGACAGTAAAAGGATAAAAGCAGATAATATGTAGATATTTTAAAAAGCAGACAGAATTAGGAATCTATTTTTTCCTAGATTTCAAAAGATATTTGAATTCTAAACTTTATCTGCTTTCATGAATAGGATTTTTCACCTCCCAGATTAGTATGTGGTTTATTTGAAGAAGGCAAACATTTCAGGAAATTTCAGAATATCTCAGGAAGAAATGCATTGTTTGCATAGTTCTAATCTTTACCAAGGTTTTCCACTATTTTACATTTCGAAGTTTTAAGCTTTTGCCTTAACAACTTTAAAATTATATATATATATATATATATATATATATATATATATATATATATATATATATATATATATATATATATACTGCATACATATATATGGAAAAAGCATAAACTTTACTCACAGGCAAACTGAAGTATGGCTTCTCTACTAAGAATACTTCCAAAAGTGTTGGCTGCTAAACACTGATAATGACCAGAATCCTTTGCTTCACTTGGATTGCTTATAATGAAGGTCCCGTCTATCAAACTGTAGCGATAATCACTTTCCAAATCTATTTCTGTTCCATTTCGAAGCCATCTTAGGAAAAATCAGAAGATAAATATGTAAAAATGATTTGAGACATAATACTCTCTGGGAGTGTCAGAATTTTATTAAAGGGAATTTTTAAGACTTAAGAAAAATAATTAATAGAATGTCTACCTGTAATTGGGAACTGGGTTGCCACGAACTTCACAATTCAGTGCTACTTTCTTTTCATCAGAATCAGTCGGGAAAATTATATCATCTGGTTCTTGTACAAACACTGGCCCATAGTCCACACTTTCTGTAAGGACCAAAGAAGACACACTTTAAAATTTCTTAAATTATCAATACATGTTTTTTTCTCACTTATGTTTGCATTCAAAATTCTTGCTCTTTCCTTGTACTCAACAGTCATATTACCAAAGTAAAGGTATAGCTATCAAATCACATTGTTTTAGTAAGGTGCAGAGACATAACTAGAAATTTTTTTTTTATAATTGACTAAGACTGTCTTTAAAAATGTGATATAGGTAATGGAAAAACAAACATTGCAAGCATTGGTTTTGTACATTTTTAAATATATATGTCTTTGTATTCACCTGAAGCACACTATTATCATCTAAATAATACTAAACAAAAACATTATCTAAAAAAACCCTGCAAGTTTGTAAATCTTTTAGAATGTTAAAAAGAATACACAATACAATAAAGAGAAAATCATGAACTAATATTTTATTACTAGTTGGGTACTATACATATGAAAACATTGGTCATGCATTCTTTGGATATTCCTTCTTTCATTCATACAATCAAGCACTACTTAGTGCTAACAATGCTGGATGGTAGGGAAAAAAGTATGTAATGCAAAAAAAATGCATTCTCATGGAATGAGGCATGTCCTCAAGAAAGTCAAATAACTGAATAAAAATGTCAATACTGTATACAGTTAAATGTTCACCAGTACGTAAGTAAAGTAAACAAGGAGGTCACGTAAGAAAAGGCATGAAAAAGAGGGCAATAGAGAAGAGCACTTAAAGTAATTAAGTGTTTACCATATGCCAGATTCTACATTCTATCTCATTTAATTAGTAAAAACTCAGAAACATTCTATGACAAAGGTAATTTTAAACTAATGAAAATTTCATGGAAATGTAGAAATAAAAATGGGCCCAAAATGTCAGCTTGGACTTGAGGATAATTCTGCTAGAGAAATAATGATAAATGATGAATAAATGTGCTGTGGCGAGTATAAGTCATATTAGCCTGCATAGTGTAAGAATTTGCAGAATTATATGCATACCTAGGATCTATAACATTCTGAATTGTAAACTAAGAAAACAAATTTTTGCTTCATTTTTATTAATCATGACTTTGATTACATGATAACCTTAGATCAAGATTCTCAACCTTGGCACAAGTGATATTTTGGGATATTCTGTGTTGTGAGGGCTGTCCTGTGCTTTGTAAGATTTACCATCATACCTGGCCTCTATTCACTACATTCCATTAGCACACCTCCCCAAAAGGTGACAATCAAAAATGTCTCCAGACATTGTTTAATGTTCCCTGGGGTCAAAATTGTATTTGTTTAAAACCACTGCCTTAACACAATGAAGCAGGAAGGGTTTAGAAAAGACATATTTCCAATGTCTGTACCAAACAGTTGGAGGTTTACATCCTCCTTGGTTAACCACACACAAAATATATATATCAGGAAAGATATTTTTGAATGAATGAATGTCCCAGGAAACTTGAGCATGAAAAAGTTATACTGAAAAAAGATATGTGCTTTCAAACTTAAAATATGGGTAAATTGATTTGCTGTCTTTTTTTTTTTTAAGTTTATTGGGTGACAATTGTTAGCAAAGTTACATAGATTTCAGGTGTACAAGTCTGTGACACATCATCTATATATCACACTGTGTGTTCACCACCTTGAGTCAGTTCTCTTTGCATCAGAATGTATTTGATCCCTTTACCCTCATCTACTACCTCCCTCCCCCCTTGCCCTCTATAACCACTAAACTGTTGTCTGTGTCTGAGTTTTGTTTCTTCATTTGTTTCTCTTGTTCTTTTGTTGTTTTCAGTTTTATATACCACATATCAGTGAAATCATATGGTTCTCAACATTTTCTGTCTGACTTATTTCACTTAGCATTATAATCTCAAGACCCATCCATGTTGTTGCAAATGGAACTATTTCATCTTTTCTTATGGCAGAATAGTATTCCATTGTGTATATATAACACATCTTTTTCCAAACATCTATCGAAGGACACTTTGGTTGTTTCCATGTCTTGGCTTTATTTATTTATTTATTTATTTATTTATTTATTTATTTATTTTGTAGAGGGCAGTGTCACTGGCCCTCATATGTGGGATCCGAACCGGGGCTCTCTGGCGTCCCAAGCCAGATCTTAACCATCGCGCCACTCGGCCGGCCCATGTCTTGGCTTTAAATGCATTATATATCCATTCTTTGGGGGGAAAAGGGGAAGGTATTTGTGTTATTCTTAACATTCATCCAATAAAAACTGAGCACTCACAATGGGTAGGCACTAAGAAGTATTTTCTTTGAGTCCTAGATAACCTAGGTGAGATGCTTTTTCTTAAGCTACAACAAAAAATATTACATGAAAATAGCTGACATGAGTTTCTCTACACCAAATTACAGTATTGCCACTTAAAACTTTTATTTTTTAAAAAAGCAAAATAAATAAGTGATAGGATAAATAAATAACTAGAGGAAGTTATTGTGAAAATATGGTATTTGTTATTGCATCATAATGAATTTATAAAAATTTGGGAAAGCACAGGAAACTTCATTAAACTCTTAATTATAATTAAGTTGTAGAACTAAATTATAAAAAAAAACCTTCTAATCTTTACATATTAAGATATGACTACTGAAATAAATATTATATATGCCTTTGATATATAAAATTAACAGATAATATGTTTTATATATTTATGTATTACAAAACATATGAGCTTTGGAGTCAGACAAACTTGGGTTTAAATTCCAGTACCATCATTTTCTAGCCTTGAGCCAACTACTTTAATCCTTTGCTGCTTGATTGATTAATTGTACATAATAATGTCTCCTTAAAGTATTGTTTTGAAGATCAACTGACATTAACATTTGTAAATATGTGGTATATCATAATTACTCAATAAATTACAGTAAATAATAATAACTTTTAATTTGTGGTATAATACTACATGGTAGACATTATACTGAATAATTTATATGTAAAATATCACTTAACACAACAATCATGTGACCAGACATAATCCCCTCATTTTTTAGATGACAAAACTGAGGCTGAAATTAACTCACTAAATTTATATAGGAAATAAATTACAAACTTCTAATACAAATCCAGGGTTCTTGGTATCTAGAACCTGATTGTCACTACCACTAATATTACTATTACTTATGTTACTATTATTATTATGTTACATTTATAAAGCACTTTCATGTATATTATTTAATTCTCTGAGCTGAGCATTATAATTATTTCTAATTCCAAGATGAAAGCTCTGACGTTCTGAGAGACTTCTGCAAAATCAGCCACACAGTAAATAGTGGATTTTAACTAAAGTTCTTGTGTCCCAAATCTTATGTTCTGAAAATTGTCAAAACAGGCAAGAGAAGTAAAGGTTGCCAGAAGGGTAAGATTTGCTAAATTATAGACTGAAAAACAAGGGCCTAGTCTGAACACCCTTTATTCTATTATGAGTGCCCATACTCTTACATATCTCTTCATTGTTCAATGTCACAAAAGTATCTTAGCACACACTCATTCACCCTGTTTCTTTATCTCTTGATTTTCTCTTAGAAATAGAGTTCATTGTAAGGGGTGGAAGAGCACTGTAGTGTGTTCCAATTCCCAGCCAAGGGTAATCAATGATGATTCTACCTCTGAAGAGATTAGATTTTAAAGTTTCATGCCAAGAAGCCATTATTACAGGTAAATTTAGATTATTTGATTAATTCTCCTGTAATAATGGACTCCATTTATTGATAAAGATGATGCATTCATTACTTAAAGCAATGTCTTTACGTTTTGTAGTTTTTAGCTTGATGGGATTCGTGACTTGTGTAGATGGACTTCAAAACTTATATGACAGTAAATCATCACAAAGATCCTGATAACCAATAAATTAATCTTTATTTAACAAGGTAAAAAACTTTTAGATATCTGTGTAGCAGGCAGATGCCATCACACACAATGTTAATTTTTCATAGGAATAATGTTTTTGAATGTTTTTTCTTTTTTAGGCTTTTATTGAACAGACTACAAGATAGCTATAGATGGCTGAACCTATAATGCTAGTTAGTGGTTATTGTCTGAAATATCAGATTCATATCTCAAAAGTGTCCTTTCTTCAGAAGAGGATTATTTCAATTTAGAAATTATCTGTTGTGTCTCTGCAACAAAGAATGATGAAATTAACATTCTCTTACTCCTCCCAAGTTTACTTCCTAAATTTTCTGTTTTGTTTGTTAATCAGTTCACATAGTTTCTTACTCATAGTTATTACTATTATGAAATTAAACACTTATTATGTCTTCTCACCATGGTTTTCCATTTCTAAGATTTTTATTTTTTCCCCAATAAAAAGATCATATGCGTTATATTTCTTGTTATATGGTTAAGAATATCTGTTCGCTGTCTTTATAATTGAAAGACAAGTTGACTGAGTCTGAAATTAGGCATTCACTACTAGTTTCATTAATGACTATAGATGTTGTTCCACTTTCTCTCTCTGTATTCATGTTTAACATCGCCATGGTGACATCTGAGTCTAGCCTAACTTTCTTCACTTTTCAGCAGCTAGATTTTATGCTTGGATGCCCATACGCCTCTCTCCTCATCCTTGAATTTAAAGAATTTTGGTAACTATACCTTTGTGTTAGTCATTTTGTATAACTTTCATGTTCAATAATTTCTTTTTCAAGAGGATTTCTTCTTCATTTGTTCTGTTTTCACATCACTTAGGCATACCTTGGATTTTTTTAATGCCTTATCTATCATCTCTGTAAAAACTTTGATATCTTTATTCTTTTGCTGTTTGACTTTTAAATTTGGTTGCTATGTTCTTTTCAGGTGCCTCTGTATTACCCGTAATGAGGGAATGTGAAATCCTGGACTAGATATAAAATCATGCACGGTCCTCCATCCATTCTCTCTTCATTTGCCAACTAGCTGACGGTAGGGGAGCGGTACATGCCGTGGAGGGCCTAATGGATGTTAAAGGTATTAGATGGATCAAATTTGGTTTTCCAACTCTCCACATGGAAAGCCACTCATTGAACAACCAAGTGGAATGTGATGTGAATAAGAAGGAAGCATGTATTGTGTTAAGAAATTGTTATAATATCCAGAATTTCTTATCTTGATTAATATTACTTAAACAAATAATTTTCAAACTTGAAATATATAATTTGATTTGGAAGCAATATTCACTGAAGTACATATCATCATTAGATTATAGAGATTGACTTGTATTTTTTTCTCTCTAGTTCAAGCCTGTTCATAACTACCTAGTTAAAGTACATTCCCAGGCCTAGAGAGATATTCAACTAGTCAACCTTATACAATATCTAACTTTATCAGTTATAGTGCTCCAGTTTTTATTACTGGTTTTCTACTTAATCCCTGAGTACCAATCCTTCTTCATGTGCCCAAATTCTGAAACTGGGTTTCTGTCCTACATTTCCATTCCTAAATCTTACTTTGTTAACCCTTCTAGAAGGTCTAGTGCTATTATTTAGACATTTGTATTATATGGATGCTATGGTTCTTGTTTTGTATTTTCACATGGTTGCTTTTCACTATATAGTAAGGTAATTCAGAGTCTGATTCATTTCTGATCTTTGACTACTGATGGCTTTTCAGCCCCACCAGCTGCTTTTACCCTTTTGACTCACTTAGGCTGCATCACTGATAAGCCCTCCTCTCTTGACTAAGATGGGAAGGTTCACAGCACGCAAACTCCAGCCCCCATAAGAACTCTCACTGTTGCTAAACTCCTCTACCACAGTAAAAGGCAAAGCTACCCATTCCTTCCCATCCTTTCTCAAGCGATTTTCAGACCAGCTTATCCTGCCCTCATCATAAACCCTTATGATGTGAATAATATATATTGTCATATCCTTTGGTATGTGTGTAGCATCATTAGTCTCTGCATTTGAACAAATTTGAGGTTGTGGTGGTATTGATGTTGCAACCACATAACAAGCTAGGACTCAGTCAGCTCAGTAGAGCACAGGGTCTTCTCTGAGAAGAACATATATTCCTCCCAAGGGGTTTGCATCCATGGAAGCAATAGATCTTCAAACAGTTATCTAAAATGTGGAAGGTAAACATGTGAGAAAGGTAACGACAGAATTACTCTGGATAGCTTTCTCTTAGGTTTGTATCAGAAAAACAAGGTATGCTCTGGGATCATCCAAATTATTTTAGCAAAATGGTCTCAGCTAAGGAGGCAAGCTAGGGGCTAGGTTTGGAGGTAATTATGTAGAGTGACATAAATTGGAGATGTTTAATAAATTATATTTGTTAATCTAAAATCAAATATATATATATATATATATATATATATATATATATATATATATATATATATATATATATATACCAGAGTGCCAAAAAATGTATACAAAAGGCTTGTATTCATCTTATGTTATCAGTATACATTGAGTAGTATAATTTTAATAGTCTTTTCCTTTCTTAAAATGTGTATACATTTTTTGGCNCTCTCTCTCTCTCTCTCTCTCTCTCTCTCTCTATATATATATATATATATATATATATATATATATATATATATATATTCTTTTTCCTTTTCCCCTTTTGTTATCCTTGAGCCTTAGGAGCAACCCCATCCATTCTGGTCTCAGCAAGCCCAGAAAAACAATATAAAATTGAGGAAAAAGTGCTGTACATCCTTATTTAGGTTAGTGGTTCTCAAATTCTTTTAGAACAAATATTTTATAATTCTCCTTTTATAAAAATTAATAAGTATTCTAACCTACTTATGTACAATTTTTTAATTTAATAAAAGGACAAATAAAAGAGAATATAAAACAGTATTTAATTCAATATAAATTCTCAGGAACAATTAAGACATAAAGTGGTAATCAAAGTTTGTTTTTGTTCATAAAATCTCCATGAATGTAGCAGCTGCAAATGCAAACTTATCCAAGTGTGGTATTTTTCACTCAAGTATCATGCATGCTCCTGGTGTTAGGTGATGTGATTTTCTAAATAGCCAACAACTCCTGGTAAAGTTCTTAACAAAATTATATATAATCTTGTTAAAACTGACACAATTTCTGCATTGACATAACTATTATATGTCAAAAATACAGAGCTGGATTCTAGTCTCAAAAAATTATAAAGGGGATTTTCAACTCATGTGAATGTCTGACAGGACATTTAAGAGTCCTGGCATTATAATAACAGGTCATTTAGCATTCCTAGTCTCCATTCTCTAAAAGTAATGCATCCTAGAATCCCTGAATCAACCAAAACAACTCCACACATTTCCGGAACACCTCTGAAGTGCCATATCTTTTTAGAATCCAAATAGAGCAATAAACAAGAAAAAATGACAGACTAAAGTGAGCCTGGTGTTGGCAGTAGTTTTCCACAAGAGATGCATGAACAGCAAGATAAAGCCCTACCTTGAAATAATGACTCTGGGGCCCATCTGCCTTTCTCCCAGTGGAGTTTTTTTTGAAGCACTGATAATGTTATTTTATTTATGGAGACAGCGATTTCCCTTGTAGAGTCCTGTCCTGGGATCAAGCTGATATCTCGCCATTCCTAACCCCTTTGAAATGACTGCCGCTTATCGATAGGCTCCACCCCTATACTAACTTTGTTCCTGCCAAAATGTTTTTAGTATCACTTAATCTGAGATTCCTACAGCGAGGTTCTCTAGGGAAGCCTTACTGCTGGGCGTTGGGTTATTGTTTTCTATTGCTTCCTGGATCATGCCTCCCTAGATTCTAAACTTGCCATTCAGACTTAAATCCTCTTTGGAACAATTACTTCTGTACCCATTTTTCTCAAAGATAGGGTCTAATGCCAGATCCCAAACCTTTCAACCTGCTGGTTAGCTCTAATTTATAGCCTTATCTACTTTATTCATGTAATGTGACCTAAGTATATCAGTAATATAATCTAGAGGAAGTATTAGCCTATTATGTCCAATACAATTACAAGAACTGTACTTTTAATGATCATTAATATATTTTACGTGATAATTTCCAGAAAGTTTGAAATGTTTAATTAGAAATTGCATTTTATAATGACATTCAGTTAAAATGTGAGAAAAACTTTTCATACCATCTGGGCATCAAAGATGAATTCTTAAAGAAAATATCCAAACATTCCTACAACTTTAAGTTGCTTTTCAACATTGAAATTAAGTTTCTTTATAAAATTTGAACAAGTGTAAACTGTCATTATAAAGCTTTCAAGGATTGCTAAGAATTAAATAATCCTTTATTAAAAAGCATTGTGATATATGTTTTATGGGTAGTGGCATTATGTTGCACACAATATAAATTGAGTGTTTAATAAGTTTTTATGTCATTTTCTAACATAGCTATAAAAGAGAGATCAAATAATTCAGAGATGCTATCACTTATGATACTGATCAAAGTGCATCAATCTTTATTGCATTCAGAAGATAACGAATCACTAGGCCATCTTGTTAAAAGGGAGAGCACTGTTCTTTTCTCCTTTTCATTTCATTTGTAATTCAAAATACACAGTTTAGTTAAAACATACTCAGGCAAATATTCTATCGTAGTGTAGAAATTCATCCTAAATTCAGAGTTCAAATTCCTCGAGTAGATGCCCCCTTATTTAGCAATATTTGTTAAGCTCCTAGTAAGCGTGCACTGCTCTAAGGGCTGAAAGAGGATAAAGAGGAGTGTATGAGGTCGTCTTTGCTCCAATAGCATATAGTGAAGCTGGACAGAAAAGCATACTACTACAAAACAATAACAATAGCTCTAAAAATTAAGAATATAATAAAAGAATAAAGGCGGCAAGAGAGACCGGAGCAAGATGACGGTGTATCAGAACCACACGGAGAACCGCCGCGGGGCCGTCATCTCTTATGGTGAAAGTGTCTTGAAGCAGTGTCAGGATGTGAAGCTCTCCTTTCCACAGCAACCAGAGGGATCCAATTTCTTCAGTGGTACAAAGAGGGGAACATTGTTTCTCACTTCACACAGGATAATCTTCGTGACTTCACACTCAGTCAGTGATCCCATGTTTTCTTTTATGATGCCATTTGATCTGATGAGTAACTGTACCATTGAACAACCTGTCTTTGCCCGCATCTACATTAAAGGAACCATTCAGGCAGCTCCAGATGGTGGCTGGAAAGGACAGGCTACTTTTAAATTAGCCTTCAGAAAAGGAGGTGCCATCAAATTCCGCCAGTTGATGATGAAAGCTGCCTCTGCTGCTGCCCATCGAGTTCCACTTGCAAGTGTAAATTACTGGTTTGGTGTTCCAGGACTGTATTTCATTACTGGGCAGGGGAGCATGATGTGCAACCAAGAGGTGCCTTGTCCAGTGAGCTTCATAATTCCTCGTTCATAGAAGGACCTGTCTTTATTTGCGAAAAACTGAACAAGGTGCTGATTTACAGCCTCATCTAAATTGACATTATACCATGCAAGGAGTTTTGAAGAGAGTGAAACAAGTTGAAGTCTGATGGTGCAAGGTCAGGCGAGTATGGTGGGTGTGGCAACACATCCCATCCAAGCTCCAATAATTTTTGACGGGTGATCAAACTTGTGTGTGGTCTTGCATTGTCGTGATGGAACACAACTCCTTTACAATTAATGAGCTCTGGACGTTTCTGGATGATGGATTTGTTAAAACTGTCCAATTGCCGACAGTACATATTTGAATTGATTGTTTGGTTCCTTGGTAGGAGCTTGAAAATCACGACACATTTGAAATCCCACCACACTGAGAGCATAACCTTCCTCTGATGAATGTCTGCTTTGATGTCATTTAAGGCAAATCATCATGTCAGGACCAAGACCGTTTGTGCACCACATTGTTGTAAACAATCCACTTCTCTTCACCAGTTATCAGTCGCTTCAAAAAAGGATCATTTTCCTCACATTTAATGAGCATATTGCAGATGTTTATATGTGCTGCTGTCAAATGAACTTTGAGTTCATGAGGGGCCCAAATATCGAGCTTGCTTACGTATCCCAGCTTCTTCAGGTAGTTGTGAATGCTTGAATGATGGATGTTTAATGTTTCTGTTATGTCTTGTGTCGTGTAACGTGGGTTTGACTCGATCAATGCCTTTATTTTGTCGTCATCAACCTCAGTGGGCCTCCCTGACTGAGGAGCGTCGTTGAGATAAAAATCACCAGCACGGAATTTCATGAACTATTGTTGGCATTGATGTTTTTGTAGAGCATTGTCATCATAAACTTTACACAAATTTTCACAAGCTTGACGCGTGTTCTTACTTTTATGGAAGTAAAAGAGTAAAATATGGTGAAAATGTACAGTTTGGTCTTCCATCTTCAACTTGTAAAATCTCCAAAACTCAATCAATCGCTCAATTTTTTTTTTAGATTGAAGCTAGAACAGTCAGCTGTCAAATGACATAGCAATAACATAGATGTGAATGACTCTAGTACTTCCAAAAATGAATTTGTGCCATCAGTTGCAAAAATGCGCCATGACTTTTTCCTATAATCCTATATTTAGTATATTCACAATGTTGTACAACCATCAGCTCTCTCGGGTTTCAAAATTTTTCATCACTCCATAAAAAGCACCCCATAATTCCCCTAACTAATAATTCCCTATTGTCCCCTCCCAGTATTTCTTGGTATCCTCTAATCTGCTGTTTGTCTCTGTGCATTCACCTATTCCGATTATGTCACATAAAAGAAATCATACAGCATATGACCTTTGGTGTTTGGCTTATCTCACTTAGCATAAAGATATTGAGGTTCATCCAAGCTATAGCATGTATCAGTACTTTATTCTTTTTGTGACTGAATAATATTCCATTGTATGTATGTACCAAATATGTTTATCCATTCATCCATTTATGGACATTTCACTTGTTTCCACCTTTTGGATATATTATGAACAATAGCTCTCCAAAATATTTGTAAAAAAAAAATAAAAGAATAAAATTATAATGTTTCAATGAATGGTCGTAAAATTGTAAGGTCTCTTTCTTAAATGACAGAAACTGGATTAATGTGATTTATATAGGAGTATATCATCCAAGTGAAATACATTTTTCCCCTTCCAGAGGGAATTCTTATTCTCATAAAAGATCATCTAAATTTCAATTTGGTCATCCAAAACAGTTTACTAGCAAAGGCTATTTTGAGGAAACAGTGGAAAATTGTCAACACAGAGATCACTTTGGGTCATGACGCCATTGCCCAAGTACCAAGTCAAATTTGAAATTAGCCACATTAACAATGAAATTCAGTCAAAGGTACAAAGGATATGAGGAAACAAATTTACTAGGTTGTGGGGCTCTTCCATATGTCCAAAGGCAGTGGTAGAAACTGCAAAAGGCTTTGAGTGTTATGTAAATTGTGGTTTGTGTTTATCATTGAGGGAATTAAAGAGACAAAATTATATGCTTCGATTTAGTAAGAAATAATTAACTTTAATTGCTTCTAAATAACCCCCCACTTTTTTTCCACTGTAGGGAGGATTAGTAGTTTCTAAATCTCAGGAATGGGCCCCCTAGTAAAAATTTGAACTTTCTAGTCGGAATCACTCCTAATTCAAACTGCTTCTGAGCAAGGAAGATAAAACATAGAAACCTAACCAACTCATCAATAATAGAAGATGTCCCTACACTTAAGTTTCCTCCTACTAAACCCACAACAATGAAAAGAGATTAAGTCAAATACCTATTTATTCTCCATTCCTTTATAAAGGGAATAACAGGTATACTATCGTCAGTGGTTAATCCTTGTGTACATTACAAAATTAGGCCATGTTTAGCAACTGTTGGAGGTGCTGACTCCTAAAGGCTTTCAATTAACCTATTTTACCATAAAAATTTCCAAATTAAACCTTAGTAAATTTTTTAATTAAATTTATTGGGGTGACAATGTTTATTAAAATTATATAGGTTTCAAGTGTACAGTTCTATAATGCATCATCTATATATTGCATTATGTGTTCACCACCTAGAGTCAGTTCTCCTTCCATCACCACATATTTGACCCCCTTTACCCTCTTCTACCACCCCCTTCCTCCCTCTGGAAACCACTAAACTGTTTGTGTCTGTGAGTTTTGTTTCTTTTGTTTGTCTTGTTCCTCTGTTGCTTTCAGTTTTATATCCCACATACTCGTATGAATGTCATATGGTTCACTAGCAACTTCACTAGCTATTAGGGAAATGCAAATAAAAATCACAAGGAGATACTACCTCACACCTGTTAGAATGACTGTCATCAACAAGACAAATAATAACAAGTGTTGGAGAGGCTGTGGAGAAAATGGAACCCACATACACTGTAGGCGGGAATGTAAATTGGTACAGCCAGTATGGAAAACAGTATAGAGGCTCCTCAAAAAATTAAAAATAGAATTACCATACGACCTAGCAATCCCTCTCCTGGGTATCTACCCCAAAAAACTGAAAACATTTATTAAAGATCTATGTACCCCAATGTTCATTGCAGCATTATTTATGGTATTCAAGACATGAAAACAACCAAGTCCTTCAATAGATGATTGGATAAAAAAGATGTGGTATATAAACACAATGGAATACTACTTGGCCATAAGAAAAGATGAAATACTGCCATTTGCAGCAACATGGATGGATCTTGAGATTATTATGCTAAGCACAATAAATCAGTCAGAAAAAAAATTAAATCAATTAAATTACAATCTTTATATTCAAACAAGTACTTTAGAGTAATTATTAACAACTTAGTTTTTATTTATTTATTTATTTTTAACTAGGCAATGTCTCTTGATCTGTTGAACATTCGCCCTGATACAATTTGAAATGATCATAGTCATTACCCAAATTAACAATATGAGGTGGAAAGCAAAATAACTTTTGAGGACTTCTCAATGCACAACTCCAATGAGCAATGTTCTCCCTTCTATGCACTGCTCCACTTCTCTCCTTTATGATTCTAGCTCAAATATTTTTATTCACTCACTGTCTCCACTTTCGAACCTCAATCAAGTGTCAATTGCTGACTCTTGTACTCTTCGCGAGGCGGTCTTTTTTCCCTTCTGTTGCTCTGGCTTGCTCCTGCTATTGGAAGTCAGCCACAATGTTGGGAGCTACCCTGTTGGAGAGTGCCACAGAGAATGGCCTCTGGCCAACAGCCCATGAGTAATTGAGATATGCAGTCCAATATCCCTCAGCACCTGGATCTGCTGACAATCATGCGAGGTGAGCTTACAAGTGGATCTGGACCCATTTGACCTTGGTATTAGACTGCAGTTTTACCTTGTGAAAGACACAGGCAGAGGACCCAGTGAAGCCTCATTTTCCTTACTGACCCACAGAGAATGTGAGATAATAAACACATAACATTTGTTCATTTTGTTGATGTCCTCACCATATTTCTATATTTTCTATAGGGAATTCTTCCTATGATATCATGATTTAAGGTTTTCTTCATAAATGTTATCTATTTTAATTTTCTGTGTTATCTTGTGATCATCTCAACAGATTGGTATTATTTTCTAGACAGCCAATTCCCATAGTCATTCAAGATTTGTTTATTTGTGTCCTGATTAAGTATTCTTCTTTGGAAGTCAGAGTCCTTTGTAACCCAATGTTGAGAGTCATGTTCCCTTATTGTTGCCATAACCTGTTCTCTAAAAGCACGTTGTTAGCTTCAGCTCACAATGGAGAAGGAATTACACTGTAAATACCAGTAACTAGGAATCATTGTGAGTCATTTTAGATTCTATCTACTACAAGTATCATATTAGTCTCATATTTTGTTTTAAGTAATAAAATATCACACACAGATGAGTTCATTTATTTTCCCTATCCTAGTACCATTTCCCTGCTTTCATTCTTCCTTCATCCTCAGAGGTAAGCACTATAGTCAGCTTGCTGTATCAAATTCATGGTTTTCAAAATGTACTGGACATATATGTCCATAAGTAGTAAATATTATTTTATTTTTTACATAAATGGTATCATATATATATATATATATATATATATATATATATAATATGCTATAACTTTCCTTATATTTTGAGGCACATCCATTTTGTTTCATAAAGATATAATCTATTCACTTTAACAGTTTTATGTTTTCAATGAATGAAAAAGTAGAATTTATGTATTCATTACCTTTCTGATGGACATCTAAATTGTTTCTAATTATTTGCCCTTAAACGTATTTCACTGAACATACTTTCATATTTCCTTGTGCATGTGTATACAAGTTTTTCCAGGTTGTATATACAGAAGTGGGATTGCGTTCCCAAATTGCTCTGCAAAACTGGATTTTACATTTCTTAGAAAAACTTTAGCTCTACCTGGGGTAATTCTGGGCTTAACGCTGAGTAGGAGTGGGATAACTTTCTATTCAGGCTCTGTTAGTTTTCTCATTTTTCACAAGAGCATATCAATACCAGCTTTACTCTCTATTAAGGCTAAAGGGAATTACCTGACAAATGCCATATGTCAGGCTTTTGTCGGAGAGAACAAACTCAAAGTCACACCTAACCAAGATATATCAAATGCTCAGAAGAGAAAACAAAAGTTATGGAAGATTACTTGAAAAATACTCCAATGACCCGCTCTTCCTGATACTCTAAATATAGATTAAACTAGAGCAACAGAGGATTTCAATTATGTCAAACTGGTCCCCAGCCTAGAGCTTTGCTACTCAAAGTATAGTTTATAGGCCAACAACATCACCATCCCTGAGATTTTCCCCCCCTTACTGTATTTTATATCTCCATGACTATATTGTGACTACTAATTTGTACTTTCGAATCTCTTTACCTTTCTCATCCATCCCCACCACCTCCCATCTAGCAATCTCAGGTTTTTCTCCTCTATGTCTCTTAGTCTATTTCTGTTCTGTTTGTTCATTTATTCTGTTCTTTAGATTCCACATATGAGTGAAATCATATGGTATTTGTCTTTCTCCGTTTGACTTATTTCACTTAACATAATATTCTCTAGGTCCATCCATGTCATTGCAAATGGTAAGATTTCATTCTTCTTTATGGCCAAGTAATAATCCATTGTATAAATGGACCACCGTTTCTTTATCCAATCATCTATCAAAGGGTATTTTGGTTGGGAATTTATGAATGCAGGTTATCTGACCCTAATCTTGATCTATTGACAAGGGGTTCTATATTAATGAGATTCTCAAATGATTGTATGTATATTAAAGATTAAAGAGCACAGTTTTAGATAATTCCTTCTAATTTTGTTATTCATGCTTGGGTTTTATCAACGTTTACTGAAGAAGATGAAACTCATTGTTATGTACACAATAAGAACAATGTTCAGGTCATTGGCTTTTACATCAAATAATAAACACTTAATAAGTACCCTCCAGAAAAATGTTCCTGATCTTAGTGTCAGCAATAGCTATTCTATTGCTTCTACTCAATAACTATTTCATTTTAATACTTAAAACACAGAAATATGTAACTGACCAGATTTTGTTTTTTTCTTGTCTGCTAATTACCCAAAATGGGACTAGCCTACAGCAGTTATGAGTAGACACTTTGAATTAGTCTCAAATCTAGCTCCATTTTATGTCTCAATATTTATTGTTTTCATCATTTTCAAGTGTTTTAATTTATATTTTCTAGGTGTATTTTATTTTTCATTGTGAGCTATGTTAACTTACATTTGGAACAAAAGAACAAAGGAGTAGAACCAAATTTTATCAAATACAAGATATCTTATAGTTCTTATCATTGAATACAGTCATGCATCGCTTAATATTGAGAATAAGTTCTAAGAAATGTGTCATTAGTCAATTTCATCATTGTGCAAACATCAGAGAGTGTTCTATACCTAGATGGTATAGCCTACTATACACCTGGGCTATATGGTCTAGCCTATTGCTCCTAGGCTACAAATTTTACAGCATGTTACTGTACTGAATACTGTAGGCAATTGTATAGGGCACTTATCATGCTTACCATGAATAAACCTTGCGGGACTGGAAGTTGCTCTGTGAGTTGGTGAGTGAGTGGTGAGTGAATGTGAAGGCCTAGGACATTGCTGTACACTACTGCAGACTTTACAAACACTGTCCCACAAACTCTCCCTCTGTTTCCTTTCAACAGGGTTAAAAATAGAACATCAAAGCTGTCAGTACTGCTCCATGCATAGGGGTGTGGTGGGCTGGATTGATTGGAAATATCTGGGAGAAACAGGCTTGGTAAGGCAAATATCATCATAATAATGACAGTCAGGAGGCAGTGAAAGGTGGTCTGAGTATCAGTAGGAATAAGAAATCAAGATGGAGAGATTAAGGGAATTGTCATGGCTATGTGGTTTTAACTATTGCATGTGGGAGTAGTGGTCAGATTAAGGAACTTTGTGGTATTTATAAAAAAGGGAGTGGAGGTGGGGTGGGGAATGTTTAACATTGAGAGAGTGTAGAACTTAGGATTCAATATTTTGACTTTAGAAATTTATTTTTGGTTCCATTGACCATATCTGGCACAAAGGGCTCCCTCTGACATTGAACTGATGAAAGAAATAAAACTTTCCTC